AAAGACAGACATTTAAATAAATTTTATTGAAATAAGTAGATAACCAGCCCTGGCTGGCGTAGCTCAGTGGATTGAGCGCAGGCTGGGAACCAAAGTGTCCCAGGTTCGATTCCCAGCCAGGGTACATTCCTGGGTTGCAGGCCATAACCCCCCAGCAACCGCACATTGATGTTTCTCTCTCTCTCTCTCTCTCTCTCTCTCTCTCTCTCTCCCTCTCCCCCCCACCCTCCCTCCCTCCCTTCCCTCTCTAAAAATAAATAAATAAAATCTTAAAAAAAAAGAAATGAGTAGATAACCATTTGGAAAAAGGCAGATGCCTACCTTAAGCCGTTTGCTAAAATGCCAAATGAATCATGAATTGGAACTAAATGCAAAAAAGAAAATCCTAAAAATGGTAGATCTTTGACACATTCAAACAGATCAAATATATACTCATGTCAGCTTTGTAGCTGGTTTTTGTATTTGCATTTTTTCATGCTCTGTAGTTCCCCATATTGCTAAAAATGGGAGCTTTTTCATCCTTTTTTGTTTCAAATATTTTGTTAAATTTCCCCTTCTAATGTAACTGCTCCCATTTTATGTGTCCAGGTGAGTTTATACCTTTTTCGCTCCTTCCCTATAACTTTAGCGAGGTCATGAGAAGGAAAGTTAAGCGTGACATTAAAACATCTGATGAGCAGACATTTTCTCCTTTGATTTCCTTCTGTCTCTCTCCACACATCATGGAATTTTGTGGAGAGAGACACAAAATAGCTGTGGTCACTTACTTCATAGCCCTGTCATGAGGAGGCTTTTTCAATCTCTGAGAATTGAAGACTGTTCTCTTCTGAAACAGTGAATTGGGAAGTGCTTGGAACAGTGCTTGGAAATTGTGTGTCCATGTATGAGACATGGCTTACCTACCGTCTGGGTTGGCATTCGGGCTGCTGGGCAGGAAACCAGCCATCCCATGGCCTGTGCAGTGGCGTAGGGTAACATAAGCTAGGTTATATTGCAGTAATAAACGCCCCTCAAGCTCCCAGGGGCTTAAAACAACAGTCTGTGTTTTCACTCATGCCGTGTTTTCATCAAGGGGCTCTGCTCATCATGGTCACTCAGGGACCCAGGTGGACAAATGCACAATCTCTCCGGGGGGGGGGGGCGGGGGGGTCTGTGGTCTTGGGGCAAGGAAGGAGAATCTGGTGACCCACAGGCTGGCCCTTAAAGCTTCTGTCAAGAAGTTCACATTTCTTGATGCCAAAGAAGTCCCATGGCCACGCCTCAGCCTGGCACCATACTGGGTGACACAGTCTACAGCAATACAGTGTGCAACAGAGGGCTCCTTGGCAGCAGTGGGGAAGGCACACTGGGCGGGCACGCTGGCTGGAGGCCAGGGGGAGGGAAGGAAGTGAGTATTTTACCCATCACAGAACAGCTGCAGACTTCCTGTGACATATTTGGCAAGGTAAGAAAACATCATTCCTTGCTAGGTGAGGGGAAGGGTAAAATCCTAAAGCGACTATATTTTTTAAGAATCAAATTACTGCCTTCTGAGTGTGAGTTAGGAATCAATGTTCCTTCCTAATACCCTTTCCAGCAAAATCACAGCTTCTGCAGCAAGTCTTGCGTAGGTGACGACTAACCCACATAAACGCAAGAAAACACCGCCTCCCCCCGTGCGTGCTGAACCGTGGGTATTAGAACCAGCTTGCTCCTCTGGGAGCACAGAACTCACAGCTTTCATCTGACAACGCCCTCTGCTCTTGAGAATAACAGGCTCTTTCTGGCGGCGTGGCCGCTTCCCTCCGGGGAGGCTTGGTGAGGGAGGAGGAATGTATGGTGTCTGCCTGCACGCAGGTGGACCTGAGTTCAGTCCTCCCTACACTGTAACGTTGCCTTTCCTTTTTTTAATTAAAAAGAATATATATTCACTACAAAAATAATTCAAACAATTCATTATAATGTAAAGTCATGGAAGACCTTTCTGCAATACTTCTTTTTTTTTTAATCTATAATTTGTCATAATATTGGAAAAGGAAGCCAGCTCCCCGTGAACTGATGTTGCTGTCTCCCAGGCTGTGTCTGCACAGCTCTTCCCGTGAAACCCTGTCTCCATGAAACATCACGCTAAAGACCACTTAAGGGAATGGTCTGGAATCTTCCTTCTTTGCTACAAATGAAATAACTAAATTTTAAGAGTTGGCCATACTTAAAATACTTTTTAAAATACCAGTCACCTTAACGAAATGATTAGGGTTAACATCACCAGTCCCTACTCGTGAGACACTTTCCATGCAGCATTCCCAGTGCTTTCTGCAGCCACTCCATCCCCAAGGATGAGGAACACAGCCCCCGCGCCTCAGACGTGCACCGTGCGCAGTGACTTCCCTCGGAAGAGTAAAGTACGAAAGCGGAGAAACCTGACAAACACTACCTCAACTGGGTCGTCAAGGTCAATGTCCATGACCTTGATGACACTTTGTTGACCTTGATGACACTGACATTATGCTGAGAGTATGTGCCTTTGATATGACGTGGTGAAAATAAAACTTTACTTCTAGGGACTTTCTCCCCCAAACCTATAACCCCAGTCTAATCATGAGAACAGAGAAATCCCAAGAGAGGAGTATCCTTTGAAATACCTGACACATGCTCTTCAAAACTGTCAAGGTCATCGATAACCAGGAAAGCACAAGAAACTGGCGCAGCTAAGAGGAACCTGAGGAGGTTCCCACTTGACAACTAAGTGTAACATGGTGTCCTGAATGAGACCCTGACATAGGAAAGACTCCAGGGGAAAACTGGGGAAATCGGAGTATCAGTGTCAGCTCACTAATTGTAATGAACATATCGCACTAAAATATTAACACCAGGGGAGACTGGGTGTGGGGCAGGGAGATATATAGGAACCCTCTGTACAATCATCTCAATTTTTATGTAAATTTAAAACTTTCCTAAAAAATAAAGTCTAACTAAAAAAAATAATTTTTTAATGGAAGGAGCTGGGGAGAAAAGTGTCCAGTAGAGTGAACCAAACACAAACATTCACTTTGGACTTTATGGGAGCAAGAAATAGTTTTATTGCGTGAATCTACTGAAATTTAGGTTTTTATTCTTGTCCTTAAATCAAGGGTATAACTATGATCAAAATCTATGATTCTCATTTCCTGAGTTTATTTCAGTGACTACCTTTGTCATTTTCTTTAAAAAAAAAAATAGGATACATTCATTGATTTCAGAGGAAGGGATAAACATCGATGCGAGAAACCTCGATTGGTTGCCTTCCATACGTGCCCTGACCAGGGATTGAGCCCGCCAACTGCTGGTGTCTGGGATGATGCTCCACCCAGGCCACTTGGTCAGGGCGCACCTTTGTCACTTTTGAAATGTCTAATCTTGTTTTATTTCCGCTCAATGGTATGCCAGTCAACTGCCCTATCCAAACCCAAAAAACTCTTCATTAGTAGCACCTGCTGGTTTCTGTGGTGTGTAAACACTCCCAGCATGGCAAGTTTTAAGCTACCGGTGATTTTACAATTAGCACTTGTGGGTTTGAGCACTCCACGGCTTTTGTCTAAAAATTTCTTGCTCTTGCCCTAACCGGTATGGCTCAGTTGGTGAAGTATCATCTGCAAAGCAAAAGGTGGCCGGTTTGATTCCCGGTCAGGGCACCTGCTTGGCTCGCAGGTTTCACCCCTGGTGGGTGTGCACAAGAGACAACACATCCATGTTTCTGTTTCTCCCTCCCTTCCCCTCTCTAAAAATAAAATCTTTAAAAAAAATAAAAATTCCCTGCTCTTTTTCAGTAAAATGTATTTTCTTTCTCTTTTGAGTATCCAAACATATGTAAACTCTCGGGTCATTCCATAAAATTAATTTATCTGGGGTGAGTTCATTTTGATGTTGTTTGCAGTCTTTCTTAGCATTAAATTTCTTCTCTCCCCACCACCCATAAATGGATTTAGCAGTCGATTCCATGCAGCTCCCCACTCCTTTGGCCCTTATTCTAGAACCAGGCCCGCTGACCTTTAGTGACCTGGGGCCATCACAGACCACACAGGCAGTCAGTAGAACTGTGCCAGTTACTGGTGGCAAGGGAGCGGGAGATCCAAGTCTTTCCACTGCCTTTCTGGGCCGCAGTTTTAGCGTAACTCTCATGTCCGGCCAGGGCACAGGCCAAGTTCAGTCCAGCTCCCTCCCTGTGGCGAGCCTGGCTTCCATCTGGCCTTGTGCACAGGGCTCCCAAGTCTCCACTCCGCAGGACCTAGAGGCCTGCAGCCACTCCGTTTCTGGACTGGAGCCCAACAAGCGTCTGGCTTCAGCCATGCTCACCACGTTGCATCTTTGCCCCGATGCTGGTCCACAGAAATATTCACCTCGTTTTTGGTTCAGATGGTCTTTTCTGTGTTCTGCTTTTCCATACCACTGGTGTTTGGGGGTCAGAATGGGCATCACTTAACCAGAACACTGGCACTCCATCTCCCCCCACTGCCTCCTTCCCACATCCTGCCTGTGTCCTTCAGGGGCACCCCGCCCCCTCCCCTGGTCCCCTGCCTTTCTGGAATTTGCTCCTTTTTCAACCACAACCTTTCTTCTCAGAACCCCTTCCTCCATCTCCAGCTGTGGCTTGCACCTGCCCCTCACACATACACCTGCACTGGCCCTCACGTCCGCTCCCACCCGACCCTCTGTGTCCCCCCATCCACCCAGTCTCCATGGCTCTAGCCCGCACACCACAGCCCTGTCACCGTCCACCTTCTAACATACCCATGATTGTGCACAGCCAATGAGCGGAGCCAAACATTTTAGGACCTACAAGAATTCAGGCAAGTTACTGCCCAAGGACCGCCACTACGGGAAACAGGAGTAAATACTTTACAACACGGAGAGAGGGAAAGCTTTTCCAGCCGTGAGGTAAAATCCAGATTCCTGAAAGTATCAACAAAATGTGAGTGACATTTAAGTCAGACTTTGGTGTAGCAATAAGAAAATGAGTTTGTAAAGACAAACTAGGAAACATGTACCACTCAAGACAAAGTTTAATTTCCCTAAAATAGAAAGGTGGCTAAAAATCATTCAAGATTGACAATCCAGTAGTAAAATGGTGAGACAAGAGGGGGCAGCGCCCCAAGAGAAAATACAAACATCCAATAAACGGAAGATTTGCCAAACCTCACTAAATACAAAACCAAAAAGCAATGATAATTTTTGATGTTCACCTTGGCAACATTTTAAAATCTAGTAATGTACAGGGTTCGCAAGCAGTTAAGAAAATAGGCAGCATTTTTGTATAATTGCAGTAACATAAATTGATAAAAATCTTTGGCAAACTAAGTGAGCAACGTATTGAAAATCCGATGCCCCTACTCCGACTCAACAGCTCTCCTCGAGGAACTTGCCCCCGAGCGAGTCTCTGTGGGGCCCAGGGTGAGCGTGGCCTCGGGGGGTGCCGTGTGCCCATCGTGGGGGCAGCCATGAAATAAATGCCGGGCAGCCACACGCTGGAATGATGCCGAAGTACGCTGGTAAGTGAAATGGCAGATCGCACAAGAGTGTGACTAAAATGCTCACATTTTTAAAAAGCAAAGTGGGTTGGTATATGCAAACAGAAGACAATAAATACACTGTTCGTTCACCAAGCTGCTAGCAGTGGTGACCCAGGGAGGTGGGGACAGAAAACACTTGCACTATATTTATGTAAGTATACACCCCAGTATATCTTTATGACCATATATTAGTCTAATAACCAGAAAAATACAAATCAAGATTAGTAAAATGTTTCATATTTAAAAATTTTTTAACATAATGAAGGATGGGCAGGGCTCTAATTTATTTGTCCATATTCATACTGTGTATGAATTAAAGATCCACTATTATGGACGAACAGCATAATCCAGTTTTCACTTGGTCATAACTTCATTTCCAAACTGCGCCGCTCACCTGCAGGCAGAGTGGACACCCCACGGTGAGAACCAGCTTACTTGGCTGGCCACTGGTCAGAACGCTGCCCAGGGTCTCCGGGCTGCCAGGACTGACTACGAGGTGCCTGAGCAGAGAGACAGCTGCAAGGGGCCACGTCAGGCCTAGATCCTTGAAGGCGTCACCTGCCCCTGCCAGACGAACCCTTCTGAGGATTCGCTGACGTCCATGCTTCCGCCCAATCTGAGGTTGACAAAGGTTGCCACGATGCTCACCCAGGGAGAAACAGGCACATCCTCTGGCACAGAGAGCAGAGGCTAAAGGGACCGACTGGGACATCCCTGGATTTCAGGAAAAGGAAGTGGCCCCAAGGGCAGGAGACACTTGCGACTGATCTCAGTCAGGGACACAGCAGAGGGACAGCTCACCGGCCTCTGCCGCCATGTCACACCCGTGCTCCACCCCTGCAGTGGGCCTCTCCCATGTTCGACAGTTTCTTCAGGGGCTGCAGGCTGGTCCCAACACCCGATCCAGAAAATAGAAGGGGATCTGGGGCCAGTGACTACCAATAGCAACCAGATATTATAAAGATGGGGGAAACCATGGCTTTAAAAAATGGGGGAAATAGGACTAAATTTTCCAAAATGCAAAATTTCCCTTCTACCTTCCCCAATCATTTGCATAATTTTTGTCTAGTCCAAACGTAATTGAAAATGAGGTAGGTAGTTTCTCTCTGCGAATGCCTTTATCTTTCGCTGACTGTCCAGGCCTGTGTGGTGCAAGAACTAGTTTCCTGTGCAGGGACTGGTGGGGCTTCTCAGTTGGCTATTTTCTCAATCTCGTCCAAATCATCCGTGTCCAATCTTTCTATTTTCTTGTCTGAGGAAAAAGAAAAAGATTCAAAGAGAGATCAACAAGGGCTTACTGTGGAGACACACACCTAGGGGAAGCAGCCAGCAGGGAGAGAAACACACAGGTCCCTGCCCTGGCCAGGAGTGAGCCCTGCCTCTGGCCGCAACCATCCTTCCTTTGACCCCACAGGCTCTGGTACCTGAGGCAGGGTCCGAGCCCCCTGTACAGCAACAGAGCTCGAGGCCCCTCAGCCTGGCCGGGGCCGGGGGGGGGGGGGGGCGGGGGGCCCAGGACTGTCATTCCAGTCCCTGATGCTAAACTCCCCAGGTGTGCTCCCTGAGAATGTTTGTATTGCAGGAAAGGCAGGGAATGTGGACAGGGGCAAAGCCTCTTTGGGGGTCACAGGAAAACCCACCCTACCCATGTCCTTGCATGCACCCCTCTAAAGAGAGGGCCCTGGCAGAGGACACTCCCAGGGACTCACTAAAATGCTCCTGGATTCTGTTGAGGATGTTCATGCTGTGCTTGCTGTCCACCATGTTCACGGCCAGGCCCCTCTTGCCGAAGCGGCCAGTGCGCCCGATCCGGTGCAGGTAGGTCTCGTTGTCAGGGTTCCCGTCCTTGTCCACTGGAAGGTCGAAGTTGATGACGACCGACACCTGCTCAACGTCGATGCCTGCACCAAAGAGAGGTGGGAAACAGTGAGGGCGGCAGAGATCAAATCCCTGCTGCTCGCCCACAGTCGGGCCACACACACCAGCGCTGGGTGAAGGAGTCTGGGTGGGTTGGCTCTGGCACCCAGGGGCAGGGGCACGCAGCAGAGCCCAGAGGTAAACCACAGAGCTCTGGCAGGTGCTAACAAGATCACAAAGTCAGTGGGAGAGCTTCTGCTGGACACAAGTGTCTAGAGATGCAGCTAAAACCTCAGTGGCTGCCCCAGGAGGAGCAGGTGCTGTGCTAAACCAGTCAGATGCCTGCACTTTCCTTCCTCCCAGTCAGGACCCCGGGCTCCTGGGCAAGTTCTCCTCTGCTGAGAGCACCCAGGCTCTCCTAGAAAAAAGTCACCACCAGCCCCGCCTGATCTCTTCCAGACCACCTGAGATTTTCACGTATGAGGATTTCCCTCGCTGCCCCAAGTGCGGCAGACCAGGACGAGGTCTCTGCTCACCGCGGGCACACACGTTGGTGGTCACCAGCACCTTCTCTTTGCCCTCTCGGAAGCGCTCGATCACTGCAGCCCTCTGCTCCACCATCATTTCACCGCTCAGCAGGGCCACCTGGTGGCCTTCTTTGGAGAGCTCTGCTGCCAGCCAACTGGCTGTTTTGCGGGTCTGAAGGAAGAAAACATGAGAAATGAAGCTTCGTGAAGAGAGTGTTTTTCATCTAGAAGACTCTACCTGAAACTGGGAAGTTAAGGGTTAAATTTCCTAAAACTGTTAACATGACAGTGTACCAGACAGTAACAATGTCATCTGGGTAGTGATCTTACAAAAATATTTCACCTGACAATAATCAGAAGGGGGAAAATCAGTAATTCTACTTACTAGCCTGCAATCTTTTATGACATCTGTGTCAGGAAAGGTGGAGAAACTGTCCTAGATTAAGGGAATCTCAAGAGACGGGACAACTAAAGCAACAATCTTTGAATGGCTCTTAGGCTTAACAGCAGCAACTAAAGGCAACTGCGAACCTGTTGATACCAAGTGGAGAAACAGAATATGGATAAACTGCTCGGGGGACAGTATCGCTGTCCCTGGATCATTGTTAAAGTGTGGTAAAGGTATCACGGTCATTTAGGAAGTATTCAGTTGTGAACTGTCATGATACCTACAGCTATGTTTAAAATAACTCAGCAGAAAAGAAAGGTACAGATATGTCACACACGTGGGCACGGATGAAGCAAATATAACCAAGTGTTGACAACAGTGAAGGGTGTAAGTGTTCACTGTTTCCTTTTCCACGGGTCTGCAAGTCCCATCTGAAGCTGGCAGAGGGACACCGCTCTGTCGTCTTCCAACAGCAGAGTAGATCTGTCTCATTATTACATCCTTTAAATAGTGTTCTCAAGTTTTCTTCAGAAATCTTAAAATACTGACTTCTGGAAAAAACTTTCTTGCTATTATAAATGGGATCTCTCCTTCCACTTTCTAAGTATTCTCATTTGCGACTATAAAGAGAGTTATTTTATATTAACTTTGTATCAACTGTTTTGTTTAGTTTCTTATTTTTCTTACAAATATCAGCTGACTTGCTTGCATTTTCTAATAATACATCACATACAAGTACTAAAAAAGTTCAAGGGGCTCTGTGCTTAGCCTACATATACCTCAGGCCACAAAGAAGAATTACCTCCTACATCTTCACAAACTGCTTCCTTCCTGGCCACAGAGGGAGCCTGGTCCCCCACCACACTCAGGTGCAGCTGGCTGAGAGACACGGGCTGGTCAACACCTTCCCAGGGAGCCCCTCCCCAGGCAGGCCTGCCCCTGCTGCTCCTCTGGCTGCTACTCACATGGCAGAAGATCATGGCTTGAGCAATGGTGATGGCCCCGTACAGGTTACACAAGGCCTGGAACTTCTCATCTCTGTTATTGCACAGCACGTAGTACTGCTTGATGGTGTCCAGTGTCTCCTCCTCACGCTTCAGTTTGATGATGTTGGGGTCTGGGACCACTTTCTGGGCAAATTTCCATACAGAGTCTTCGAAGGTGGCAGAGAAAAGCAGCATCTGGCAGTTCCTGGGCAGCATCCTGCAAGGCAAGGCCCAGGTATCTGGCATGACCCTGAGTTGATCACTGGAGCCAACACAAGCACGGTCTCCCCAGGCTTGGTTGGGCTACCTCCCCAGGAAGATGGCAGCAGTGGAGAAGCACTGCGGGGAAGAGGCAGGAGCAGACGTGGGGCAGGGACAAGGTGCTGTTGGATTCCCTAAGTCCCTTCCTTCAGCCCAGGCTGGGAGAATGGGCAGTGCTGACATGGCCCCTCAAGCACATGCTTCTGAAGCTTCTGAAGCAAAGAACCCAGCAGGAGACAGAAGAGGGGCTGGTATCACAGGAGAAGGCACAAAGAGGAAGACTTTTACTTGTGGATCAGGAGGCTGAGAAGGTCCTCCTGGATCCAGAATCCTACCTTTGGATGCGGATGCTCTGATCTTGATGGCCCTGAGTAGCTATCATCACGTCAGCCTCATCCAGAACAAACACCTTGATCTTCTTGGGGTCAATGAACTTGAGCTTGGCGCACCAGTCCAGAACAGTTCCAGGGGTGCCAATGACAATATGCTCACTGATCTTTTGACCTCTTTCCACTGTGGAGACAAGATGTGCTCTGTGGGTATGTCCATGGCAAAACCAGCTACGGAAATCAAGGCCTGGCCACCATCTAGAGCCAGAAGACTAAGTTAATTCCAGACTTTAAAACACACACACCTACTTCACTCCTTGTGGTTAGGATTAAATCCTACACAGTGCACCCTCAGTGGTAGTTCCCCATTCCTACCTTTTCCTATCATTCGACATCACCCAACTCTTCCTCTTCAGCATTACTCTTACTCTTTTCATACCATTCCTTCACTCACAGTTCACTGACTGCTTCCCAAATTGGTCACTCACTGTTAGTCCCAGGATTCTGGCTTAGTGATTTTTTTGCTTTGTTAAACATTCTAATTGTGTAGACAATTTTCCTAAGTACAAATCTCTTTGAAAAAACACATCACTCTCAAACTATAGCTGATGGGAGCTGAAACTGATATAATCACCTATCAAAATTATTAATGTGTGCAGCCTTTGACCAATGTTTCCACGGTTAGGAATTCCTCCTGGATATGTATTCATATGTGTGAAATAGCATCCATACAAGGGTATGCATGTATCAGAAGTTTACTAATTAAGTAAAATATCATACACCCAATGGATAACATTAATAAAAGTATAAAATCATTTAAGAACTGATACGGAGCAATCTCAAAAATATATTATTAAATGTAAAAAAAACCCAGCTGCAGCTTGTATACCAAAAGGGGCAAAAAGAATACACGTAATGTATGTGCATGTATATGTGAGTACACACACACATTACATAGTTACACACTCACACACACTGCACACACACATCACTACTTAACTGCAGCTGCAGAGTACTTCTGGCAGGACACATGAGAAACCGGCTAGCACTAGGTGTCTTTAGGAAGGAGAACTAGGTGGCTGGGACAAAGAAGAGTTTCTATTACATATCCTTTTCCATTTGAAGTGTGTGAATGTCTTAACCATTTTAAAAAGAAATGAAGTTTAAAAATTTGAGGAGAAAAGACCTTTCACTACAAATTCATCAACTATCCATTAGAAAAATTTACTCTTAAACACATTGTGGTTCTCAGCATCCACTGCCTATCAGTCAAAGTCGAAACTTTAAAAAATGATACATTGAACAGTTAGTATTTTAATGCTTCACATTCAGCGAAGTCCCATATTACTACAAAACAATCCAGAGAAGATAAATGTTGTCACGAGAATCTGGTACACTTCACTCATGGGCACCCATCAGTTTGCGCTATCAAATGAACACGCACAAAACTGCCCAACCTAGGAATTTCTGGATAATGTGCTTTTGCTGCGTGCCAAAGCACGGCGGTCTTCTCCAGGAAAGGCTGCTTTGTGACTGTGTGGTAAGCTGAACTAGCCATTTTTGTTTGTTGACTGACAAACTATAGGAAACCAAGTTGGGAATTTGATACATACTTTCTCGAAAATGAAAAAAGGCCTTGGCTGGTGTGGCTCAGTGGATTGAGCATCGGCCTGAGAACCAATAGGTCACTGGTTCAATTCCTGGTCAGGGTACATGCCTAGGCTGGGGGCCAGGTCCCCAGTTGGGAGCGCGTAAGAGGCAACCAGTTGATGTTTCTCTTCTACACTGACGCTTTTCCCCCTTTCTTTCTCCCTCCCCCTTCTCTTTAAAATAAATAAAATCTTTAAAATAAATAAGAAAAGAATGCCCGTCTTCAATGAATACAATTGAATGTATTAACTGCCATTATAATATTTAAACTCTGAAAAGAAAATCAGAATTAGAATTTAGGCCACTGTTTGCAGATGACATGATAGTATACATAGAAAATCCTATAGACTCTACCAAAAAACTGCTTGACCTAATAAATGAATTTGGCAAAACAGCGGGGTACAAAGTCAATATCCAGAAATCAAAGGCATTTCTGTACACCAACAATGAAACAGCAGAAGCAGAGATCAAGGAAAAAAATCCCATTTGAAATAGCAAAAAGAAAAATAAAATATCTAGGAATAAACCTAACCAAAGAGGTAAAAGACCTGTATTCAGAAAACTACACAACACTGAAGAAAGAAATCAAGGAAGACACAAACAAATGGAAACATATACCATGTTCATGGATTGGAAGAATTAATATCATCAAAATGTCCATACTACCCAAAGCAATTTACACATTCAATGCAATTCCTATTAAAGTACCAATGGCATATTTCACAGACATAGAACAAACACTTCAAAAATTTATATGGAATTATAAACAACCCCGAATAGCTGCTGCAATTTTTGAGAAAGAAGAGTAAAGTAGGAGGGATCACAATACCCGACACTAAACTATATTACAAGGCTACTGTAATCAAAACAGCCTGGTACTGGCATAAAAACAGGCACATAGACCAATGGAACAGAACAGAGAGCCCAGAAATAAGCCCAAGTCTCTATGGTCAATTAATATTTGACAAAGGAGGCAGCAACATAAAATATAGTAAAAACAGCCTCTTCAACAAATGGTGTTGGGAGAACTGGACAGCCATGTGCAAAAAAATGAAACTTGAGCACCAACTTACACCACATACAAAAATAAATTCAAGGTGGATAAAAGACTTAAATATAAAACGTGACACCATTAAAGTCCTAGAGGAGAACGTAGGTAGGAAAATCTCAGATATTTCATGAAGAAACTTTTTTACTGACGTGTCCCCTAGAGCAAGGGACATAAAGGAAAGAATAAACAAATGGGACCTCATCAAAATTAAAAGCTTCTGCACAGCTAAAGAAAACAGTATCAAAATTAAAAGAGAACCAACTGTATGGGGAAACATATTTGCCAATGACACCTCAGACAAGGGTTTAATCTCCAAAATATATAGAGAACTTACACGACTGCACTCTAAGAAGACAAGGAATCCAATTAAAAAAGTGGGCAAAGGACTTGAACAGACACTTCTCCAAGGAGGACATACATAAAATCCAAAGACACATGAAACGATGTTCAATATCGCTAGCTATCAGAGAGATGCAAATTAAAACCACAATGAGATACCACTTCACACCAGACAGAATGGCCATAATAAACAAAGCAACAAACAACAAGTGTTGGAGAGGTTGTGGAGAAAAGGGGACCCTAGTGCACTGCTGGTGGGACTGCAGACTGGTACAACCACTATGGAAAGCAGTATGGAACTTCCTCAGAAAACTAAAAATGGATTTGCCTTTTGACCCTGCAATTCCACTGCTGGGACGCTATCCTAAGAATACTAAAACACCAATTCAAAAGAACCTATGCATCCCAATGTTCATAGCAGCACAATTTACAATAGCTAGATGCTGGAAGCAACCAAGATGCCCAGCAGTAAATGAATGGATTAAAAAACTATGGTACATTTACACAATGGAATTCTATGCAGCAGAAAGAATGAAGGAGCTCCTACCCTTTGCAACAGCGTGGATGGAGCTGGACAACATGCTAAGCGAAACAAGCCAGGCAGTGAAAAACAAATACCATATGATCTCACCTTTAACAGGAACCTAAATAACAAAACAAAGAAACAAGCAAAATATAACCAAAGACACTGAAATAGAGGACAGGCTGATGGTGACCAGAGGGGAGAGAAGAGGGAATTTAAGGGGACAGTGGGAAGGGTTCACAGGAACAAACTTAAAGGACACATGGTCATAGACTAAGGGGAGGGTGGTAATGGGAGGGAAGTGGGGAGGGTGGGAGGGGGGGACTGGATTGGGAGTAAAAAGGAGAAAACTGTATTTGAACAATGATTAAAAAATAATAATAATTAAAAAAAAAGAATTAGAATTTAGGGAAACTTGCATATGCCAGTGTAAGTTAGAGTTTCTCGATGTGCATAAACCCTCTGATGAGTTTGGTGGTGATACTAATGCATGCAATAAAATATTTTTGTATAATAACGTGTGTCAATGTTTGGAAGATGAACATAACTCATTAAGACTGGGCTAAGGATGCATTGAAAGTGTAAGAGAAACCAAGGAATTTTAATGTAACAGTATGAAAAGTTCATTAATGATTTCCAGTATCATACTGCAACCTTTTTTGAGAGAGAGGGAAGGGAAGGAGAAAGAGGAAGAGAAACATCAATGTGAGAAACACTGATCAGCTGCCTCTTGAACGTGCCCCAACTGGGGACTGAACCGGCAACCCAAGCATGTGCCCTGACCAGGAATCAAACCAGCAACCTCTGGCTTTGTGGAACAACGCCCAGCCAACTAAGCCACACTGTTAGGGCTCAACTAACTTTTAAGTAATGACCACTTGTTAAGTTTTGGTGTGGTGTCCAAAAAATATATATATAAAATTATATGAAAGGCCAGACTTCCCTCATATTTTTCAACAGTACTTGAAAAAAAAATCTCAACTTTAACTTTTAATGTGCCAAATATCAATAGATATCACCTGTGTAAATAAAAATGCTTTGGGGTCCTCAATAATTTTTGAGTATAAGAGACAAAAAAATTTGAGAACCACTGCTCTAGGCAATTATATACTGCTGGGTCAGAGGGATGTCTGTCTTCAACTTTTCTAGGCTGCGTCGAACTCTGTCCCAAAGTGCTGTACCAGTGCGCACTCCCCATGGGGAGCGTGCGCCTTCCTGTTCCGTGCTCTCACCAGCACTGGTAAGTGTCGATTTCTTCATTTTTGCCCCTCTGAAAGGCATATAAGTAGTTTTAATTCACATTGTTCTGACTAGTGAACCTCATTTTTTCATGTTTACCGGCCACCTGAATACCTTCTTTTGTGAAGTGTCTTTACAACTGGGTCTCTTTTGCCCAATCCTTTATTAGACTGCTTCCTTTTCTCTTAATGATTTGTAGTTTTTTTACATTCCAGTAACTTTCTAATGACCCACTTTCTAACTGCCCACCTCCCCATTTTAACCCACATTCTCCACGTCACATTCTGCAGAACACACATGAAGAACAGACTGCTGCAAGATTTCCGATTTTGGTTAAGGCCAAGTGAGCAGTCCGTGCTCTTGCTTTACTCTTGCTGAAGCTGTGCTGGCTCCTAAAGAAAACTGTCCGACATCTACCTCGCACCCTCAGTGCCACCATCCCTCTCTAGTGAGCAGCTGCCAGAACTCTGGATGCTGAACTCAAAACCCTGTTTTTTCAGCAAAGAACTCCAGGCCCGGAGATTTTCTAACAAAACAAACATCTTATTTTCAAATACATTAGCTAAAAGCATTCATCTGGGCTCTAAGGTCAGACTGAACCAGAGAGCTGAATAATCATCATCACATCTTCAACATTCAGATGCCCAACCACCTCCTGTGCTCACCGTCGAGGTCTCACCCCTCCATACTCACACTTATTGCCTCGAACAGCATAAGCGAGCTTTAGTTCCGGGTGAAATTTGCCCATCTGCTCAATCACTTTTCCTGTTTGAAGCGCCAACTCATACGTTGGGGAGAGGCACAGGCACTGACAGGGAGATCATAAGGAGTTCAGGAGACACTTTTAGTAACAGACAACAGGCTCTAAAGCAACAAGTACGCTGAGGTCATTACCACTTGAACAGTGCAGAGAAGAGCATCTCCCTCCACCAGGCCAACCTTCTAGCCTGGCTGGGTGGATGCCTTCAAAAGCTGTTGTTTAAAGCAGCTTCCGAATGAATTCTGCCCAGGTCCTTCTCCGCCTGAGCCACAGTCTGAGGCACAGGAAATGTTCAGAACCCTCCAGGGGCGCCCTCACCAGTCCCCCACCAGATGGCGCTGCCCTTCCCTGGGTGGGCATGTCAGCACCCCAGGCTTCCCCGACTCACCTGGGGGTATCTCTCTGCTGGTTCCACTCGGCTGAGCATGGCCAGGACAAAGGCGGCCGTTTTACCAGTACCAGACTGAGACTGGGCAATCAGGTTCTGTGGGCTGGGTCAAAGAAGAGGAGAGAGGAAATATTGGTTCCACAACAAAAAAGGTGTCAAAATGTTCTTTCTGGGTGGTTAAGAATACGGATTCTCTCTCTTTAGTCCAGGTTTTCTGCATTGAACACAATGGTAAACATTTTATATATTGTTTAAAAACTGCTTTAAAATTATGGGAAATGATTGTTTTAGATGGGTCCACACAGAGAAAGCCTCGTTCTAGACTCTAGCACAGCTACTGCCCTAGTTTTGTGCTCTACGGGTCCCGTGGGCATTAAGACTGCAGAGTAAGATCTGTGCCGAGATGATCCCCGAGGACACTTCCTACTGAGCCACAATGTGCCTCTAGGACTCGGCCCCTCCACGGGCTCCCTTTCCCATCTTTATGGAAAACGTAAGATATCAAGTCAGACAGATGCTTCGGAGGGGGCCTTCGCATTTCACTTCCTGTAACCCACTGTCATGGAAATAGGTGGCATTTGGGTCATTACAAAAGAAAAATATAATTGTCCTGGCTGGTGTGGCTCAGTGGGTTGCTGGCCTGTGAACTAAAAGGTTGCAGGTTTGATTCCCAGTCACAGCACATGCCTGGGTTGTGGGCAGGTCCCCAGCTGGGAGCGTGCAAGAGGGAACCAATGGATGTATCTATCTCTTGCACATCGATGTGTCTCTCCCCCTCTTTCTCCCTCCCTTCCCTTCTCTCTGAAAATAAATGTAATCTTTTTAAAAATAAAAATATGATTATAATAATAGAGTTGAATGAAAACGTTGCTACGTAAAGTGTACCATTTATCTACTAAGGTTTAGAAACACGTAAACTACTCTTAGGTTCCCAGGGACACACAGACACGCAGTAAAGGCACAAAGAAGCGTGGGAGAACGACAGCCCCTCGGGACAGTGCACGCTCTGGTGGGAGACAGCATGAATGCAAGGGAATTCAGGGGCTTCAGCGGTCACTAGTTAATGGTGTGCTATTTCTTGGCAGGACAGAGAGTTACAGGTATTCTTGGTATTGCTCTTAATACTTTCTTTCAGGTCTTGAAAATTCCAAATAATTTTCAAAAACCCAATTTTTAAAAATTGCACAGAATAACAGTGCTAATTTGTTGATCAGTTTTCCTTGTTCAGCAGGAAAGGCAGAAATTATACTGAACTCCATCTCACTCCCTCTGCACTTGCCCAAGCTGTTCCCCTAAAGAAACATGTTGCCTCAAATGTCCCATCTTGGTCTCAGGACAGAAACAGGTGTTGGTGGGTAACAGTAAACCAACCAAACCCCATGACAGCTGGGGGGGGAGGTTAGGGGGCGGAGGGACTGAGCTAAAAGGAAAAAGGGCTCATGGACAGCAGTGTGGTGACTGCTGGGGGAAGGGGGTATAAGAGGGCTAAATGATAATGGAAAAAAATACAATAAAGATTAAATTAAAAAAAACAAATTCTGAAGAGGTGCATACTCACGGCTCAGCAAGCATCAAAGGCAATGCGTTCTCTTGTATCTTGGATGGACGGTTGAAGCCCATGGCGTAGACTCCCTGAAGAAGCTGCGGTTTCCTGGGAGGCCAAGGAGACAAAAGATGGATTTCTGGTTGCTGAGATTGTTTTAAAGGCCTAGAATTTTATCCTTCCCTATATCTAGCAAAGAATGTTATGTTCTATCTTTGTCAGATATTTTTCCATGCCTTAAAAAAACTATCTAAAATAGCCCTGGCTAGTGTGGCTCAGTGGATTGAGTGCTAGCCTGTGAACCAAGGGGTTGCCAGTTCAATTCCTAGTCAGGGCACATGCCTGGGTTGCAGGCCAGGTCCCCAGTATGGGGTGAGCAAGAGGCAACCACACAGATTGCCTCTTCCCCCTTCCCCCACCAAAAAATAAATAAGTAACATCTTAAAAAAACCCACTATCTAAAATAAAATGATATCATTTCTCGGCATTTTGGCTAAGGCCAAGTGTAGTATCTGTTCTTATCAGTTTAAAATAAAATGAAACCATCTTTTCCTACTGAATTTTAATCTGCAACTATTATACAAATCATAAAATACAGACTAGTTTCCTTTCTCAGAGAAATTCACACTTTACGCTTTCAGCAGACCCACAGATATGGCTGGCCTTGGAGGACAAGTGTTCTCTGGGCACTGCAAGAGTGGCATTTATTAATTCATGATATAAAATAAATTAAATGAGACTTATTTAAAGTAACACAGCTTACTATGCTGCTAAGATACAGAAGTCCCCTTGGAGAATGGGATTTCAGTTTTAATTTCGCAGTGCAGATATTAAATTGAACCAGTCATTTTGTATTCAACGGTCCTTCCAAAACCAGCTTGGAAAAATCAAGAGGTAACATCTAGTCAAAATCAAGAACAGAAAAGCACCAGCTTCTTATGTAAGCAGCCACACCACAAATGCTAATTAAAGTTGCTACTATGTTGCATTTACAATAATCTTTCTGCTACCTCTAAATTGACAGGGTGTCTAACAAAAATCATACGAGATTATTTCCAAAGAAAAGTCAAACCGAGTCAAGACTCCAGTTCTCTAAGCCTTCCTCGGAGTTCAACAGGCTCTTCAAAAGGCAAATTCCTCTGGCCTGTGTTGGTTCTCAGTCAGGAAGAACTTTGAAAACATAACCTTTGATGTCTGCTATTTGGAAGAAAAGGCTTTAATGCCAGCGGATTCTGATTTGGTTGTCAAGGAAACAAAGTCACTAACAAATGAGGATTTTCAAGTGACCCAAGAACTTCCAGTGGCTAATTTTTTTTCTTTTATTTTGTAGATTAACTCAAATCTTTTAAGTACAAAACAGACCAAGTGTATTAGGTGACCTAGGTTTCATTCTTTGTTTCCTTTGGCTCCCAACAGCTAAAGCAGAGAGAATTTGCCTTTTCAAAGAGGACAGTTCATCACTGGTTGAACTAAGAGCTCCAGTCTTTTAAATGAAAGGAACTTGAAAAAAAACCAAACCCATTGATACTTAGAAAAGCAAACTGTCAGTTCAGGAAACGACAGAGCACACAGCTGCCCTAACACAGTTGACGGACAGAGCGGAGGTGACAGATTTGCTGAATGAAGCCCTTGAGAAGAAATAACACAGAGAAATATAATTTCCTAAAATCACTCAACCTCCCCCGCAAAAAAACCCCAACCCTGTTACTAGCCATTAACTTCATTAGCTATTACTTAATTAACTTCATTACTTGATTTGGTTCTAGTTGACTCTAGTATTGTGTCTTTTACTCTAAAGCAGCGGTAATAGTTGGCAGAAAGGTGGCCCCTATTTGCTCACAGTGAGCATGCTATAGATTTTGCTGAATACAGGCAAAGAATCCATTTATTCCACCCTTTCTTATTCACCAGCTATTTTCCATCTGTGATTCGGGTCCTGGCAGGTAGCAAGAGTGGCAGTCAAGTCTTACGTCACTCGTAACACCCAGCACAGTGGCATGTACATAAACCAACGATCCATAAACACCTTTTACTAACTTACTGAGGAAACAAAGAATGTCGTACGACCTTCCATAATTACCTCTTTAAAATAATGAACATTTAGAAAGTCATTCTTAGCACAGTGCCATACGTGTGCTCCCCTAAGACCTAATTCTGGGTTCTGGATTTTTAAAAATTCCACTGTAGGTCCTGGGAATCCTGTGCAGGCTCTTTTCACAGATTTTATACAAGCAGAAAAACTGTTCTTAAGAACATAAACCCTATAATCTAACAAAAGGGCTTACCTACTAAGGAATGTTCCTGACATCCAGAAATCACCTGTCAGCCAATATTTTATTGAAAGTTCTAAGAGCATAAAAGAAAAAAGACTTTCAGCTACGATGAATAAATCTGTGGCATATAAAAATCCCTGTCAAGAGGAGGAGAGATGGGCAGCCAAGAGACAAGGGTGCGAGGGAGACCATCACTGTAACCTTTTTCTTACTTTTTGACTTTTGAATCATGTGAAGAATTAACTAGTCAAAGAAATAAGTACATTAGGATCTTTTTAAAGAGTCAAAAGTAAAATCCCCACAAGAATCTCTGAGAGGCTAAGGTTCACAAAAGAGGGACTGGGAAGACGCAGCTCAGAGAAGCAAACACTCACAGCCGGAGCTCCTCGAAGGACTTCACCGAGTAGAGCGGAGACTTTGGGTCCCGCTGCAGGACTTCCACTTGGTTTCTGTTATCGACCAGGTTGTTTCTGATCAGCTTGTTGAGTAAGGACTGCGCAGCTCTGTCCTCTGTCAGGAAGAAACCAACAGATTTTCTTCATACTCACCTGACAAACCCCACCCTTGTGACATGCCCCCTTCCCTTTATGGAACAATCCCTAAAAAGGCAATCTTTATTCATCTCCATTTCCTCTCCTCCCCTTCTGGTTCAATGTACACTGAATAGTTTTTTTATTAAACCTCTTCACTTTACCTCAGTCCTTGTCAAGCTCACCAATGTCTACACTGCCAAATCAACCCAACCAACAATATTTAGTTCTCTTAACTTGTTACCTATATTTAACTCCCTACTTTGGAAACACTTTCTTCTGATTTCTGGGGCACCACTCTCTTTGGTCCTTCTATCTCACTGACTGTGTCTTCTCGACCTCCTCTGTGGACTACTCCTCCTCCTCTTCATCTTGCAACTCAGGTGCCTCTGGCTCCAGGATGGCAAGTCCTGGGTCATACTTGGTGTCTTGCTACAGGGTTTCAAAGAGCAGTTACCTTTCTCTTCCTCATCTGCTTTTTCTGCCGTGACATTGGTTTTGATCACACCTACACAAGAAAACAGCTGTCATCATCAGAAAGGCAAATGTCAAACCCACCCAGTAGGCAGGACAATGTAAATACTAAAACTTCTTTAAGTGATCAGAAGGTAAATAGTTGGCATTTCTTTGTGTTTAGTAATTTTATTCCCAGGGAGTTTTTAAGTGCATAAGAAAATTTCAAATTTCCAGATATTCTGGCAGACTGAAAGTGATCAGAATATCACCTTTGACTTATTTTTCCTAATATAAAATATAGCTTTATATTAGCAAACATAATTAAACATAAAAAAAAACACAGGTGTTAAAAATTAAAAGAAGGAGGTCAAATGATCACTTTTTATAGGATGTATAACTGTAAACTTGCAGGACTAAGTATCCTGCAACTTAAATAAACAGAAATCAATGATTTACATAAATAGAAAAAGATATAATTGAAAAAACCCTATGTATAATAGCAACTAAAAAGATACAATACTGTACCCAGAAATAAAGTAAACAAAAAATATGCAAGACTCACATGAAGAAAACTTTTAAACACTCATAAAATAATGCAAAGAGGTACAGCTGAAAAGCCCATAAATAAATTAAAGGGACAAAATAGGAAACAAATAATAAAATTGCTAACCTAAATACAATGATGTCAATAATTACACTAAATGTAAATAGAGAAAATACTAATTAAAAGACAGAGATTATGTATAAAAAAACAAGACCCAACTGTCAGCTGTCTACAAGAGTCACACTTTAAATACAAAGCCACAGAGGAGTGGAAAGTCGGGGGATGCAAAGAGATATTTCATGCAATTACCCACATTTTGCCGTGTGTAATGCACAAAAAAGTGTGCATTTTGCACAATTTTTTGCCCAAATTTTTGATGGAAAAATAAGGATGCACATTATACATGGGTAATACCTGAAATACCTTGTATCTGTTCTGGTATTTTGTAATTATTAGTTATATAAAATTTTTTATCCCATATTACATTAGGAATAAATGCTAAAATTCCTTTATAATACAAAAAAACAAGTATCTAAATATAAATAAATAAATAATTGAATTAAAAATTTAAAATGAAAGACTTTTTCCCTGAAAGTATGAGCCAAAAACTTGAGTGTGCCCTATACATGGCAAAATATGGTAGTAAGCATAAAAGGCTGAAGTGGCTCCCATAATGCAGAATTCAAGACAAAAAGCATCACCAGAGATAAAGGGGGATACAAAAGGGTTCATTCATCAGGAGGCATAAATGTATATACCTGTGAACATATCTGTAAGACAGATGTGGTTTTTGGACAGAAGTCCAAAAAAGACAGAATTAAAGAAAGAAATAGACTTTCCCATAATTGTAGTTCAAAGTTTTAAACACCCCTCTTTCAAAAATGTAAAGAACTAGACCAAACAACAAACAAAAAATAATCAAGACACAGATCTGAACAACACTATTAACTATATTGACATTTATAGGACACCACATACAATAACTGCAAAATACACATGCTGCAAAGTCAAAAGGCAAATAAAACTGGCAAAAGTATTATCAACTTCTATCACAATTAAAGAGTTAATTTTAAAATACAAAGTTCTGCCCTGGCTGGTGTGGCTCAGTAAGTTGAGTGCCAGGCTGTGAACTGAAAGGTCAGCGGTTCAATTCCCAGTCAGGGCACATGCCTGGGTTGTGGGCCAGGTCCCCAGATGGGGGCATGTGAGAGGCAACCAATTGATGTGTCTCTTGTACATGGATATTTCTCTCCCTCTTTCTCCTTCCCTTCCTATCACTCTAAAAAAATAAATAAAATCTTTTTTCCAGATTTTTTTATTTTAATCATAATAAAATCTTTAAAAAATACTCAACTTTACTGATGAAACACAAATTAAAATATATATTCTATATTATACATATATATTTAATATTTTATTTATTTATTTTTAGAGAGAAGGGAGGGATAAAGAGCAGGAAAGGAACATCAATGTGTGGTTGCCTCTTGCATGTCCTCTACTGGGGACCTGGCCCACAACCCAGACATGTGCCCTGACTGGGAACTGAACTGGCGACCTTTTGGTTCATAGGCCCACATTCAGTCCACTAAGCTACACCAGCAAAGGCACAAATTAAAATATATTATGCTGATCCACCATTTTCTCTTTATCAGATTGGCAAATTTCAAGTTTTTGACTAAAAATTCTGTAGTGAGGCTGTGGGGAAACAGACTCTCATGTTTTTCTGATAGAAATATAAACTGATATAATACTCATGGAGAGTACCTTGAAAATACTGATAAAAAATGAAAATGCATATATACCTTTGACCTAGCAAATCCATTTTGGGGAAATTTTTCTTACAAATATATTTGCATACATTTAAAAAGAATTAAGCTCAAAGTTACTCCATGAAACACTGTTAATAGCAGCAAAAGAATGTGACCATCTATCAACAGATGACTGGTTAAATACGTTGTGGTGTAGCAACTCAGTATAACACTATGAAATTATAAAACAGTGAGGAAACTCCACATACTGATAGGAAAAACTTGCCAAGCATGCTGTTGAAGGAAAGAAAGCATACTGTGTACGCTATGCCATTTTTTAGAGCGTCAGTAAGAAAGAGGAAGGGAGAAAGAGAGCAAGAAGAGAAAGAAAGAGGGGGAGAGAGAGAGAGGACTGACTGAATAAATTGTGTTTGTAGTTGCTTTGTCTAAAGAAACTTTGGAAGAGTATTAGTAATCCAAGAGTGGTGAATTGTAGAACAGGGTAGTATTATGGGTATGGCCCTCTCTCCTCCATATTCATGTTTAAGTCCTAAGAATGTAACTCAGGAAACGACCTTATTTTGAGATAGGGTCGTGCAGATGTTATTAGCTAAGAGATCATTAGTGTGGCCCCTAATCCAATATGACTGATGCCCTTATAAAGAGGGGGAATTTGAACACAGATATTCGCACATGGAGAACACCATGTGAAGATGGACGACAGAGCAGGGTGATGCTTCTGCAAGCCAGGGAACACTAAAGACAGCCAGGTCCCTCCCCATAGCCCTCAGAAAGAACCAACCCTGCTGACACCTTGACCTTGGACCTCTGGCCTCCAGACCTATGAGACAATAAATTTCTGTTGTTTAAACCACTCAGTTTGTGATACTTTGTTATGGCAGCCCTAGCAAACCAATATAGGTGGAGATTTGGAACTGCGTAAATAGTGGGCCAGGATGAGAAGAAGGCCTTTAACCTGTTTATAGTTTCTGAGTTTTGAACCCAGATTAACCTTCAAAAAAATTAAATAAAAAATTTTAAAGAAATATTATTAAGTAAACAGTGACAGTACAATCCAATAGTGATTCTTGATTTTAAGGCGTCAGAGGCTAAATCAAATGTGGAAGAACAACACATCTCCTTCAGTGTGAAAGTGACTTTACTGGCTGTCAAATCCAGTGGTGACATTTGCCGAACATGCTAAATGAAAGCTCACTCCTTTTCATGTTATAGCTATGAGTACAAAGCAGATGCAAATTTGTAGCTTGTATCCAGCTTACAGTTACCAGTAACTCACCATTGGTATCTGGTTTGACTTTCTCTTCCTTGATCTGCAAATTACTGATCTGAATGGAAATAAAAGACAACATTTGAGAACAGAGCCACAGAATAGCCTCATACCATGAATTATTTATTAAGCTAAGTACACAAGTCTGTGTGGTAAGATAAAGAGGGGAGGGTTTTTACCAACTATTAGGAAGCAATGCTTTAAAACACTGAATTACATCAGCCTCCTGATAAGCACACCGGTTGAAACCAAATACCAAGTATGTTTAGGCTTATGTGATATTCGTAACATCACAGCTAGATTAGGGTTCTAGGTTTAAAAAGATTTGAAACCAATTCTGTCTTTTAGGGAAGATCTGATGCTAAACACTAGATTGTAAAATTGAGAGTGCCAGAACCATATACTATATCATACTTTTTGATTTCTTCATGGATAACTGCCAGTTTTATTTCTCTAATCTGATTGTTCTCCTGAACTCCAGCCCCACATTTCCAAATGCCTGATGGTCACTGTGCATAAAAACACTAACATTAAGAAGCATGACTGCTATTCTTAGGAAAGCCAGTTAGCAAGGCTGGCCACTGGCTGGCATCTGGAAATGTGAATTTTGGGAAGTTTCCCATCATTTCCAGAACTGCTAAGGGTTTCACTATGTTTGTAAAAACATGTGGTTTATGCTAACACCTGCTTTCCTTTGGGAGTCTGGAATTTTGGTACAGGCTAGGCAGAGTATGACTTGGTGACAGCCTCCCTCCCCTAACCCCAGCCTAATAAAAACTCTAAGCACTGTGTCTCTAATGAGCTTCCCTGACAACACTTCATGCATTGTTACAATCTACTGCAGAAGGAATTAAGCACAAACATGGAGCGTGTGACTACAGGCGGCAAACACAAGGCCTGTGGGCCGAATCTGGCCCTCCACTTTGTTTTATCCAGCCCAGCACTTTGTTTCTACCGGGCAGCAGCGCCGAGCTCTCCCTTAACTGTTAAGGAGTAGTTATATGTATACAGTCCTCAAATTACATTCGGCCTTTCGAACGTAACTGTGAGGCTGATGTGGCCCCCGGTGAAAATGAATATGACATCCCTGGTGTGACTCCACTAGAGAGGACTCTTAGAAGTTTGTGCTTGGCCTGACTATTGTGGCTCGGTTGGGTGGGTATCATCTGAAAGGTTACTGGTTCGATTCCGGATTAGGGCACATGCCTGGGTTGCGGATTCGGTCCCAGGTTAGGGTGCATATGAGAGACAACTGATTGATGTTGCTCTCATACCAATGTTTCTCTCCTTCCCCTCCACTCTCTAAAAGGAAATAAAGTTTTAAAAAGAAGTTTGTGCCTCGTTTTCCCTGGACTTCGGTCCCATATACCTTTGCTTTTTGCTAATTTTGCTTTGTATCTTTTCGTTGTAACAAATCATTGCTGAGTAGAATTATATACTGGGTCCTGTGAATCCTCCTAAGAAACCATCAAACTTGGACAACTCTTGCCGACTCCCAACACAGGTATTCATCAAGATGTCCTCCTTACCTCAAATTCAGAGCACTCAAAAGTGAACTCACCACCCTCCATACCAAACCCACCCTTCTTCCCACCCCCTAGTGCTGGTCTTAGCACTTCATTAATATCACTTGTGGGATCTAGGTTGCAAACAAAAATCTTTGCCTTTATCTCCATTTTCTCCTTTTCTCTAAATCCTTCCAGTTATACCTCCACAATTACCTCTAGAATCTATTCCCTCATCTTCATTTTCATCCCCCAACATACACCTTCCATCTCTGAGCTATTAAATTCCAACTAATCTCCTCTCTTTTAAACATCACTCCTTCTAATAAGATTTTGTTCCCTGCAGTCCAATAAATCTTACCAGCTCTCAATTTAATGTGGTCAGTATCCTTAAACATCCCCAAACTAGCCAAATAAAGCAAGTTTTGTAAGTTCTTAGTTAAGATCCAAAGTACACTCCCTACAATATTTTCTATATTGCTCCCACTACAACTTGATAACCTCAAGCTGCAGCAAAAAATAAGTTCTGATTCCTGCTCTCCAGGGAAATGTGCATTCTATTTTCCTAAAATGCTTTTCACCTCCATCTCTCTTAAGATGACTCAATCTCTAATACCCTGCTCAAATGTAAGCGACTTGAAAAGTAATCTCCCTGATTTCCGTACTCATAAATGTCCTCCCCCTGCTCAGAGTTCAGTCACCACATTACTCTTACTGTTTTCACAGCAATTCCCACCTTCTAGCCTTCCTAACTAGGCTGTGAAGCTTCTTCCTATTCTCCACTGAATTTGGCCCATTTCAAATATGTGCTGACAAACTGACAACACTCCCAAAGTAATTAAAGGGTGAATGGAGAAAAAAATATATAATGTAGGCATTAAAAAGATATAAGATTTTACACTGCAAAAACAAAACATCCGCCACCTCCCAAAACCAAAAAAATTAACTATATTCCTAAAATCGTCACTCTCACTAAACAAACCTGCATTTAGATACAACAGAAAATCACAGTTTACACTTTGATTACCTTCTGGTTGACTGGATATTCATTAATCAAAGAAGAACCAGTATATGAAACTAAATGTCACTTTAAACATCAATGAAACAATTTGCAGTGCTTCCCACCAACTGCAGTAGACTGAAATACATAAAAACCTGCATTTGTTATTCTGCTAAGCTACAAACTGCCAACCATGTTAATTTAAACATGGATCTAAAGAAAATGTTAAGCCCTGGTTGGTGTGCTTAGTGGGCTGAGAGATGGCCAGCAAACCACAGGGTCACTGGATCTATTCCCAGTCAGGGCACATGCCTGGGTTCCAGGCGAGGTCCCCAGTGGGGGGCGCGCGAGAGGCAACCGCACCTGGATGTTTCTCTCTTTTTCTCCTTTCCCCTCTCTAAAAATAAATTTTAAAAAATTAAAAAAATGTTAAAATAAAAGTAGGACAGACTCGTTCTACTTTTGGTGAGAAAGAAAATCAGCATCTACATTTGCCTTTCCTTAATAATCCCACTGCAATGCAATCCAGGAAAGAGCACACGTAGCGAAAGCAGATCTGACACAGGATAAAAGTCTTTAAGTGGTGCAGATGAACAGAAAAGTCTCGATATTGATCTCTCTAGGCGCAAATCAGTACTGATTCCCGGGTGGGTCCCCGGCCTGCCCCACGGGTGGCACTCCCTGTATTCGAAGCAGGGTCCGCTTGGGCCCTCCTACTTCCTTCTTCCCTGGAGCTGAAGTCACTAACCGACTTGACAGCCGCTTCCTGCTCGTCCACTGCCAGGGCCCAGGAGTCGGTAGCCATGGTCCGGAGGGAGGGAAGCCGGCCCGCGAAGAAAATCACAGCACTGCGCACCAACACCGCTCCTAAACCCGCAGCAGGCGCGAGAACCACACTCACGCGGCCCGGAAGCAGCGGTGCTGAAAAGTGACGTCAGTTTCTGTCCGGCGAGAAACGTCACCATTCCGCGCCGGGCCGGCCTCCACCCACGCCTCCGCGCGTCACGCGCGAGCTGGTGGCGAGTTTCTTCTGGAGTGTTCTCTCGGTGCTCTACTTTACACTGAAATAGCCGAGGTTTCATTTGCAGACTTGCCCCGTCTCACTAAGTTTATGAATCTCTGAACGCTAAAGCCTTACATAGGCAAAGTGCTGTGAGAATGCTAGAGGAAGGCAGTTTCTACTGTTAAGAACGCTTAACGGGTAAGACAACAAAAAACGAAACAGGAAAGCCTTTAAATCTCCCTCTCCGCCCCCGCCTCATAATCCCCCCTACTCCATAAAATACAACCGCGGTATCTTTTTTTTTCTGGATCATTCCAGTCTTTATTCATACCCATCACAGCACAGGTATTTTACATAGTCCTGAATAAGATGTACATATGATTTAAAGTTGGACCTGTTTATTAAAGGGCTATTTCTAAATGTCATTTTTAAATCAATGTAATGGCATAATAGTCCAAGTTGCTGTCACATAAATTGTCTTAACTCCTTTCTGATGTTTAAGCATTAATTTGATAATAAGTGAGCATTTCCACACCATCAAAAATCATCTTATTTGTTGCCAATTTACTTTTTGTCTCTCTCCACTACAATATGAACTTTTTGAAAAAAAATATTATATTTATTTTTAGAGAGAGGGGAAGGGAGCGCTTTCTACTGGGGACCTGGCCGGGCCGCAGCCCACGCCTGTGCCCTGAATGGGAATCCAACAGGCGACTGATGCCTTGGTTCCCCGGTTGGCACTCAATCCACTGAGCCACACCAGCCAGAGCCTAGAATATGAACTCTTTAAAGTAATTTTTAATAACCACTACTTTATTTTTTTTTCAAAAGATTTCATTTATTTTCAGAGAGAGGGGAAGGGAGGGAGAAAAAAAGGAAAAGGAGCATAGATCAGTTGCCTCTAGTACACACCCTGACCAGGGACTCAACTGGCAACCCAGGCAGGTGCCCTGACTGGGAATTGAACCCGCAACCTTTCGCCTTACAGGACAGCGCCCAACCAATTGAACAACACTGGTCAGGCTCTAGGTCTCGATTTTGGATTAGATGTATGAATTTGTTAAAACTCCTAGAACTGTTGCACTTCACTTTATTGTCTTTCACAGGTGTTGGGTTTTTTACAAATTGAAGGCATGACCAGCAAAAAGATTACAACTCACTTTATTGCCATACCCACTTTATTATGGAGGTCTGGAGCCAAACCCACAATATCTCTGAGGTATGCCTGTATGTAAAATGTCATTTTATTGTATGTAAACTATACCTTTCAATAACATGGAGTTACAGAGCAAAAGAAAAAGAATGAACTATTGATACATGCATGCAACAACACAAGTGAATGATTTGCTATATCATACATTATGTTGAGTGAAAGAGCGCAGACTCAAAAAGAGTACATGGTACATGATTCCATTTATATAAATTCAAAACAGATATACCTAAATTATAGTGATAGAAGCCAGAACAGTGTTTGCCTGGGGATGGCTGCAGTGAGTAGGACTGATTGGACGGGCACGAGGAAACTTTCGGGGCGATGAAATGTTCTGTGTCTTAGTTGGCGTGGTGGTTACACATGTGTATGATTGTCAAAACTCATAGAACTGCCCACCTAATATCAATACATTATGTTGTGCGTATACGTCAATTAAAAATGAAACAGAAAATACATTGTAATGAAAGATCAAAATTTTTTAAATGCTGGTAGTAATAAATTTAATTTATTTGTACTGTAGAAAAGGTAGTGGGGGCTAAGAATGATTTCTCAACTCTTAACCACTCATGAAAACAGACAGCATGCACACACTATGCTACAGAACTGAGAATGCCGTGTACCATATTACCTTCCCAAAGGACTACTCTGATTCTCAGCATCTTCACCAATGGTGAGCTACTGCTAGGAGACAGCACTGTAGTCTCATTCCATGTTGGGCAGCAACCCTGGGGGAGACTGCTAATTGGCTTTCTGAGGAATAATGCTCCTGTCCTGTTATTGAAGTGATCCCTTTTTAGAAAAAGACAAAACTAGCCCTGGCTGGTGTGGCTTAGTGGATGGAGCACCAGCCTGTGGACTGAAAGGTTGCCGGTTCAATTCCCAGTCAAGGCACATGCCTGAGTTATAGGCCAGGTTGCCAGTTTAGGTGGGTGAGAGGCAATGGATTGATGTTTCTCTCGCACATCGATGTTTCTCTCCCTCTCTTCCCTCCTTTCCCCTCTCTCTAAAAATAAAATTTAAAAAAAGACAAAAAACTAGGTTTGAGGCGCCTCTCCTTCTTGCTCTTTGCCCCAAATGTCTACACAGCAAAGCTTTCAACAAAACTAAGCAACTCAATTGTAAGTTCTTTGTGGCAGAGAACTATAGAGCAAAAATTGAAGTCTGGGTGCCCACTGCCCTCTCTCCATTGATACTTCATTACAAAGTGCAGCTGCTCCAGCACTGAGATGGTGATTCCTACATTGCTTCCACTGAAACACAATTCCTAGAGCTAATTCACCAGAATTGATGGTAGGATTTTAAAAAATTTATTTATTTTTAGAATGAGGGAAAGGGAGGGAGAAAGAGAGGGAGAGAAACATCGATGAGTGTGAGATACATCGATCAGTTGTCTCTTGCACGTCCCTAACTGGGGACTCGGCCTGCAACCCAGGCATGTGTGCTGACTGCGAATCGAACCAACGACCCTTAGAGTTCACAGGCTGGCGCTCAATCCAATGAGCCCCACCAGCCAGGGCTGAGGGTGGGATTTTTGCTTGCATTGGATTTGTAGGACTTCTACTGACATTTATTTTTATTATTTCACTTCCTGCACCTGTAAGGAGACCGATTGGCTTTTGTTTAGTACAGCTGGTGCTGGCAGGAAGGTCCAGCCTGAGGCTCCAACTGGGACAATGAAACTACCCAGCTTGTTTGGAGCAGCTCTGCCAGGGCTGTCACTTCCTCCCCTCAGCTAGCATTTATATTCCAAAAAAAAAAAAAAAAGGGCATCCAGCCGGAAACCATGAGAATCCCACTCATGGGAAGGGTATGTTTTCTTAGGCAGTCTCCTGCAGTGAGTCGGACTGGGTTAGACTGGGCAGTTATAATGAGTTAATTTTTTAATGCATTTTCAGTTTATTCTAATCATCCCATTTAATTCTCACAGCTTTCCTGTTATCTCCCTTTTACAAGTAGGGAAATTGAGGTTCAGAGAAGTTGACTTCCAAGATAATATGGCCTAGTAAATGGCAAATACAGTATTTGAATTCAGTGTAACTCAATTCGAGAAAGGAATGGGCAACAAAACCAAAAACAGGGTGGAGTAAGAGGCTGGCTTTTTTGGGAACCCAGGACTGTGATCTAGAGCCCAGCCGGCCCCTGACTGGCTGGGGCCAGCAAACCAGTCAATAATTGGAGGCATTAGCCTTTTCCAGGGCACTTTCTAATTGGCCGTTGGGGCCTGAAATCTTGCTGAGAAACTGAGCAGCTTGAACTGCATCTTACTGCCTGATCACATAATGATTTCGTCTTCACTCAACTGTGACTTCTGTGGGCAGAGACCTCACCTACTTTGCTCACTGTTGGCTTTCCAGCACCTCCTCCATAGAAAGGACACAATAAACAACTGTTGAATTAGGGAGTACAAATCAATAAGTGAGTTAGTGATCAGCCGATCACTAACCATCAAGCCGGATTCTGTCACAGCATCATTCATTCTATGTGAATGAGTGCAAGGGACTCAACTGCTTCTCCCTCACTCTCTCACAAATCAGTTTTAAAAAATGACCAGATGCTTCATAGATCCTCCCATCAGGAGATGAAGTTTATTTCCCCACCCAGGACATCTGGGCTGCTCTTGTGATTTGTTCTGACCAAAAGAATGTAACAAAATTGTATTTGGGAAGTTGTGAGCCAAAGCTTCATGAGAATTTGTACCTTCCACTCTCTCTCGGAAGCTGGAGACGGTCTACCGTGCTGTGAAGATGAAGGACCATGCGGAGGGATCCTGTTCTGTTCTTGGCTAAGCCCAGACGTCAGCTAGGGGAATGTAGCTGTGTGGGTGAGCCTGAGAGAGACCAGCAGAGCCACCCAGACAATCCTTAGAATTGTGAAAAAGTCATCTTAAGTCATTGTTTTGGGGTGATTTGTTACACTGAAGTAGGTAGTAGATATAAAAGGAGTTGGTGATGATTGGTTGGGGCGGGGGGGCCAGGGAGTAAGACTCATGATGAAGCCAGGTTTCTGGGACAAGCAATAGGCAGTTGAAATGCCATTTTGTGAACTAAAGTTAGGGGAGGAGCCAAGAACAGAACATGGAGTTTTTAGATTGGTGGTTTGTGGTGTGGTAACAGGTGATGAGTTCAGTTTTGGGTATGTCGAGTGCAAGTGTCACGTAGGCAGTGTTTGTACAGCCCTGCAGCTCAAGGGTTGGGTCTTGCCATAGATTCAGGAGTTGCCAGCAAGAATGAACAAGATTGTCCATGGGAGAGGAGAGAAAGAGGAAGAAATGGTCCAAAACAGCTGTAAGGAACAGTCACATTTAAGAGGTGAATAGAGGAGCCTGCCAAGGAGACTAAGAAGTGCCAGAGAGAAGGAAGACCAGTAGATGTTGTGTGTCACTTTAGTCATTAGAAAGTGGTTAGAGGTAGGCCTACCCATAACATTAAATGCTGCTGAGGAGTCAAATATGATAAAGTGCTTGGGTTTTTTTTTTTTGTTATTAGTAACATGCAGGTTGTTGGTGTCCTTAATGAAAGCCATTTCTGAGGAGCAGTGGGGGAGAAGTCAGACTGCACAGGGATGGGGAGTGGGACTCAATGTACAGAAGCAATTTTACAAGATTTTTGGTCATTGAGGACAAATGTGGTTTTTTAAGTATATTTTATAGATTAAGCTATTACAGTTGTCCCATTTTTCTCCCTTTATTCCCCTCCACCTGGCACCCCCTTCCCAC